AGAGAGAGAGAGAGAGAGAGAGAGAGAGAGAGAGAGAGAGAGAGAGAGAGATATTAAACTAGAAAGTAAGAGGAGTGTGACCCCTACTACGACAATAGCTACACCCAACAACAACGAGGCCAAACAAGTAAAAAAATTATATAAAAAAGGCCTTCTGGAAAGCCAACCCTCATCAATGGCGACTCAACAGGGTACCAACAACTGCACTCATCAAAAGGCAAAACCAAAAAAGCATCCCTCGCCAACGTCGAATCGACAGCGTATCAAAAAAGCAAAACTCAAAAGGCAACCCTGCAGAGTGGGTCCCCTGACATATGAAAACCTGCGTGCACAAAACCTTCGTGGCCTGGTTTCCTCAATGTCCTGGCACATACGATTTTCGATGTCGCTGTACGACGGAAGACGTTGTGCGATCTTGTAGTGGATCAGCCTTGCCGAACACATCCGGGCAATTATCCCACAAGTATCTCACGTTCACGAGTTCAGCTGCGTATAAGATACACAGTCGGGGTTCAACCAAGGGCTGGCTATTCCAGTGATCCCCTTTCATGATGAGCTTGAGTCTTCACAGCGAGTTCTTCACAACGGGTATCTTCAACGGCGTTGAATAAGTCGTGTCCCATCCTTGCTTGCTACAAAAGATTCTGCACCAGCTCGTCAAAATAGGTAGCCAATGGTCTCAACACCCTCCAAATTTGCGGGAGTACAAGTGGTTTAAGATTTGTGTCTGCGGCTCCACTTGGATTTTTGCAGCTGCAAGTTTAGATGAGTGAGCCTGTAGTCAAGGTACCAGGCTGTACCTGGCAATTTTAAACTTGGATACGTTTGGAATCATGGACAGCTTACAGGCAAGTCATCATTTTCCTTAAAACAACAAAATTTCCTCTCTGTGGTTTTCTAGAAAGCAACGAGCGCTTGCCCCACCCTGTACTACCCTGTAACCCATTCCACGATAAATTCAATTATTTCACCTCGTACAATTGCCATCGCTACTAATCTCACCCTTGAGAGTGAATCCATTTGTTAAAAAGAGTCGTCATTTGAATAAATCTTTCCCGGTTTCCCAAAAAATCCTTAAATACTTCACAACGGAGGGAGTAATGATGTTTCCTAAGCAGGTAGTTCATCCACTTGGAAGCAGAAAATGATAGGCTGCAAGGGGCTGCGACCTGAGGATATAAAGACCACAGAGGAAACAAAAAGAAGTCAGACAGTTCTCTTGGCGGAAGCAGGGAAAAAAAAATCCACTAGGTTTCACGTCCAATGTTAATTTCTTATGCCAGTGTTTATTATCTCTTGATGATCTAGACATGGCACCCCCCAAAAAGAAGGCAAAAAGACAAAAAAAACAGAAAGCTCAATCATATAGGTTTAACACAAAATGTGAGGCTTCACTCCTGTGGAGGACATAATGTGCCAATAATACGTCAGAAAGAGACTGGAGTGTGCAAGTGCATGCCAACTTCACCCATCTGCCTCATCTACTCAGGTGACGATCTCCTTTCACAAAAAACAAACAATGTAGGCTCATAATACAAAACATAATACGAACATCAACAAACCAAACAGCCAAAAAAAAACGAATTAAAAAAAAACACCTAAACACTATGAAACCCTAATGCAAAAATGCGTCCGGAGTTAAAATAAGCGTTCAACCATGTGTGCGTTTGTAGTCACATTTCAAGTCTGACATAGTTTAAGTGTCCTTCAAATAAGGCACTGCCTTCTTGTAGTTTCATCAGACCAACCGTACTGTCAGAGAGCTATTTGGTTTGCTTCCTTTCCAAGTTTTCTCGTGCTGATAACAACTTCGACCATACGTAAAGAAAGCCGGTAAAAAGTATTTCTCCCTTAAACATCTTCTCAAGCAAACATCCACCCATTTGATCCATGTTGTTCCATGTGTCCATTCCAGGTAAGAATAAGCTAGAGTTTCAGCAGTACAACATTACAAAATAATTTCTAAAGCAAGCACCAAGCAAGGAAAAAAACAAGGATAAAAGTAAGGAAGAAAGCAAGCAAGGAAGGAAGGAAGGAAGGAAGGAATGAAGGAAGAAAGGAAGGAAGGAAGCAAGGAAGCAAGTAAGAACACAAGCAAGAAAAAAGCAAGCAAGAAAGCAAGCAAGAAAGCAAGCAAGTAGGAAAGAAAGCAAGACAAAAAGAAAGCTATAAAGAAAAAGAGTAAGAAAGTAAGAAAGTAATAAAGAAAGAAAAAAAATGAATGAAAAAAGAAAAGAAAGAAAGAAAGAAGGAAATAAATAAATAAAGAAAGAAAGTATGAAAGAAAGAAAGAATGAACGGATGAAAGCGCAAACTAATGAAAGAACACCGAACGAACGAGATAACAAATGAGAGAAAGAAGAAATGAGCAACATAATGAACGACAAAACGAACGAACGACATAAAGAACGAACAAACGAATGAACAAACGAACAAACGAATGAATAAACGAATGAACAAAGAAATGAAAGAAAGAATGATTAGAAGAAAGAACAAACTAAAAAAAGAAGAATGAATGAAGGAGAGAAACGAACGGAAGAAAGAACAAACGAGCAACAAAATGAACAACCGACAAACGAACGAACGGACGAACCAAAGAAAGAACGAAAGAATGAATGAAAGAAAGAATTAAAGAAAGAACGAACAAAAGAACAAACGAATGAACTAACGAACGAGCGAAAGAAAGAAATGACACCCACCTTCTCCGTGAGTGTGCGCACGTCGCCCTGTTGCAGGGCCTGAATGATTGCTGATAGATCCATGACTGATGTAGCGGCATCCTTGAGCTGGTTCATGAGTCACAAAACCACAAAAACACAAAACCACAACAATGAGGATGACACCATTGATGAGGAGGAGGACTTGGACAACAATGGGACATAAAGGTTGAGATTTGGTCCTGTGTGAGTTGCTGATACGTTTGTGGCTGACATGTTGAGGATGATACCATTGACGAGGAGAGGAGGAGGAGGAGGAGGAGGAGGAGGAGGAGGCGGAGGAAGAGGAAGAGATGGCAATCAACAAACCTGTCCATCGAGGACAGTAACACACCGAACAAACACAACATTGAGGATAATAACTGGTTGTTGTTGTTGTTTGTTTGTTTGTTTTTCTTTTTTTCTTGTTTTATTTTTTTTGTCTTCTTTTTATTTATTTTTATTTTTTATAAGCGCAATGGTGTTGAGATATCATCTCTGAACTGAACGGCTCCAGTTAAGTTTAGAGTTATTTGCGTTCATCTGATTGTATGAATTTAAACTTAGGTATGCATTTCAACAATTCATGTGCGTACCAACTGAGCTAGGCTAGTTGGTAGGGTGATAAGATAACATTATCAGAGCGCGGAGGAGAAAGAGGGGGAAGAGGAGAAGGAAGAGTTGATGGCGGCAGTTGGCGAGTCCAACAGCAAGAGAAAACAAGTTACACTTTTATCTCATGCCACTCATGGGCGTGCCTCATCCTCGATGTTGCTTGTAGCACTTTCTTACACGTCAACTCTCTTGTGGGTTAATCCGATTTCCCCCAAAGTGGGTTCATTGAACTTCAGTCCCATTCTTCTTGTCTTCTTGCCTGCAAACATATTTTCACAACGGATTGTCTAAAACACAACCTTCCTTATATCATGGATGTGACGCGCAGTGTAGGTACCCTCAACATCTGGGGTGTGAGGAAGGACAGCCCCGGACACAACAAAGACGCCAGAATCCCTCTGGCGTCACAGAATGAAAGATGGTCAATGTCTTAAATGTGGAAACCCCAACCACATCATTCCCTTTCGCCCGGAGATTCGGCGACCGTCAAATGGGAATGGCCAGTAGGAGTCGTGGTTGCTCATACTGGGGCCTCAGACTTTGATAGACAGGTAGAAGCACGCGCTGAAGAAGGCACCTCCTGTCTGAAAGCCCCTATGGCAGAGGCTGATGTTCGCCCCCATTTAGTGGACCATCTAGAGACAGCTTGTGTCAGGGTCTCTCTAGGTGGGTCCCTCATAGGCATCGGCAACAAACTGATCGCTCGTCGCCAAGCCTGGGCCGAGATGAAGAAAATGTCAAAACTTCTCAAAAGGATAGTTGATATCAGCAGATGTAGAAGGGAGTAGAACTAGGATAGGTGCGTTAGTGGACTGCCGTTCGACACGTAGTTATGTTAGTAGGAAAGGATTAAGAAACTGCATCTAGGAATGAAAGTGCAGAAGTTGGAGTCGTCGGTGGTGAGCAAACTGGCAGACAATAGAGAGATGAGAGTGGGGTTCGTTGAGGGCGTGAAGGCATACTTCTGGTTGGAGGGGGAGGATAATAAGAGTGAAAAAGTGTTGCATTCTCTGACCCATTTAGCGGAGGATAGCACTCTTTGACATGCTGCTGGGGACGGATTGCTGAGAGGCCGCGAAGGCCGATGTCAAGATGGGTGAGAAAGAGTGCTGGCTGCCCAGCCCCCACAGTGGGAAAAAGAAAGTTTAGACTGTTCCACGAGTCCGAAGTCCACTCCGCCCTTTCGCTATGTTGCATGAGTGCCCCCGCGTTCGCTTGGCATAGGGTCAAGCAAGATCTTGCTGACCAAGTCTTTGTTGCATATGTTAGACCAATTAGTGAGGAGAGTTAGGAGGAGGAGTTAGTGATGCCCCAAGTTCAGAATCTGTTGAATGAGTTCGCAGATGTGGGAGAGGCCCCAACCGGTGTAGTGGAGAGGGAGATCAAGCACCGGATCGAGGACTGTGTTGAGCACCATCCACAGGTTCTTTTTCTTTTTTCATGTGTTGTCCCATGTTCACTGTACACAACACAAAAAAAAAGCATGACTGTGCCAGACTGTTTCACTGGACTTTCACCGACTCATCAGGAGGTTGAACCCCAACTGTTTGGTGTGTGTTTTAGATTTTCACCACAACAGTCCCTGTTCCAACCGGATGAGTTGATACAAAATCGAAGGAACTTTACCTCTATTGCACACAATGAAGCACACTTAAGATGAGCCAATCCAACAATGAGACAGTTTTACATCTATGGCAAGCAATAGATCCATGATTTCCCTTTCTTTTCTTTTCTTTTCTTTCTTTCTTTCTTTCTTTTTTTTTTTTTTTTTTTTTTTTTTTTTTTTTTTTTTTTTTTAATACCACAGAACCTCTTGGTTCTGGCTCCTGCCATTCTAAGGAGCGACAGTCCAGTTCCTATTCCCCCGGCAATGATTTCCCTTTGTTAAGTATCTTTACTTTAGTTTTCTTTGGGGTACCCTTTTGTTTGTTCTTGCAGCTCCCCTTGTACTATGCCTCTCACGTACAAGGCTGGCGACATTGATTGTGGTTGAGCATCAGCTGCCCACATCCCCGTCCCTTAACGGCGTCGGTTGTTCGGCTGAGATCCAACTGCGGTTGGAGCATGTTTATGCCCAACGCTGCATGCGGGACATGATAGGAGAGGAGGTGGAGGGTGATGGCATTGGGGATAGTCCACGCAGTAGAGACACATACTTTCTATGACAGCTTCCCAGAAACGTTGATGACACATCGGATGTTGCTGACATGGCAGCAGGAAAGCAGGTTGGCGTTCACAGTTATTTAAGCATGGCATGTCAAGGACACAATGGCATGCTGGGCAAGTAATTAGGGGGTGGGGGGAGGACTACAAGACAGGTGGTTGCAGCTTTCATGACAGAGGTGTACAAATCACTCACCTGCATACCATTCTGATAGGGTTCGAGTGTGTGAATGTGAATCACTCACCGTTTCCTGAAAAGTCTGCAAATTCGTCAGGACGGACGTGAGAATGTCCACAGGATTAAGATTCTGAACCTGGTACAGTGGCAGTTCACAAAACAAAGCAACTCACATGTTACCAACAACGCATTTTATTGCAACTGCAGCAGTCGATATCGAAGTTGAGTTCGCCATGGCAGACAGAACATTCACAGTTATCTGCTACATGAGGAACGATCGGCCGTACTGTTACACGGAGTGCTCCTTCCCATCTCAACAGTCTGCTGAAAAACAAAAAAAAGGAGGAAACAACCCAGGATGGCGACATCTGGAACCGTAAACTCAAATTGTTGGAAAGTTGGAAACCAACATACAGTTCAGTGCTAGAATGGATAAAAAATGTGCTGAAGCCTGAAAGGCACCAGGTCTGAGTGGCTGAATGGTCCCGAGATGTAACTGTTCGTAAACAGATCGTACTTTTGAATCATGATGAAAACAAGATGAATACAATAATGTTAGGGTTAACCCCTTCAAAGTTCAAACAAAGAAGAAAAGAAAACGCACTGAGGGAGAAGTAGAATTGATTGAAAATGTGTTTAAGGAGGGGAAGAAGGTATATAGTATATACACAATACCTTTCTCCGCCTTTTGGCTAAGATCAAGTGTAGTATCTGTTCTGTTAGCAAAAATAAAAAAACAAAAAGAACATATTTACACACGCACAAATTTAAGTATGGATTGATAGACAGAGAAGCCCACGTGCGTGGATGGTATGTGTTTGTAGCTGTTAATGAAGAGGTCAAGAGTTCAAATCCTGGCGAACTAAGATGGATATATTGTTACAGTACTGTTAGGAGTTACCCCCCCCCACAAAGTTTGTAATCGAGAATGACCGTCATGGTCATTGGGGGCAGAATACAACAATAGTGGTTGTTCCATCCTATGCCCCAGCAAATGGACTGACCAAAACTGCTTTACAGAAAATGGTTAGCCTAAACTACCGTCTTCACCCGAATAGAACACCCGGTCATAATGGCCACATCAGGACGGAACGTTGCCCCAAATACGGCTAAAATGACCGGGCGTTCTATTCAGGTGAAGACGGTAGTTCTGGAAAATGGTTGATTAAAACCAGCTGTGGAAGTCTGTCGACTTAGTTTCCTTCCTATCTTGTTGGTGGAAATGAGAAGTAACGATTATGTTTGGTGTTCCTTTTCTGGACCATCCTGATTTACCTCATATATTAACTTATTGACTACCTTTCCCGGGGCGCCCAGCCGGGTAGGGACCATCCCCGGGGTACCCCGGGCATGCAAAAAAAAGCCACTGAGTTTTTTTTTTTTTTTTTTTTTTTTTGCTGCCAGACCTTGCTGCGCTTTGGGAGTAGTGCCCAAATCCGGCCTCTTTTTTTATTTTCATGCATGTCAATTTCTGTGTGTTGTGGGGGGGGAGGGCTTGCAGAAGGGGTCTGCATTATCAACTGTCCGTTTGCAGGGTGGGGATACAGCTGCTGTGTCCCACCTGTGGTGGAGCGCCACGTCAGAGGGAGGAGGGAGGACAAAGGAGCCCCAAGTCAGAGGGAGGAGGGAGAAGCGCCACGTCAGAGGAGGGTGAGAGGACGGAGGAGCACCACGTCAGAGGAGAGAGGGAGGAGGGAGAAGGGAGGAGGGAGGGGGCAAGGTGATGGAGGGGGCGCGAGAAGGGAGGAGCGCCACACCAGAGGTGGGAGGAGGGAGGCAAAGAAGAAGAAGAAGAAGAAGAAACACAGAAAGAGAAAAAGAAAGAAGAAGAAGAAGAAGAAGAAGAAGAAGAAGAAGAAGAAGAAGAAGAAGAAGAAGAAGAAGAAGAAGAAGAAGAAATGAAGGAGCCCTGGATCAGTGCGAGCTGTCGATCGATGCAGATCGACGGCCAGAATCCGAAAAAAAAAAAAAACTACAAAACGGGGCCTACCGGACCCCCCAAAAAAACGCGCCGACCGCCAATAAAGAAGGTGGCACGTTCGGAATAGGGCGGTGCCACAATTTTTTTTTTTGAGGCTCTTTCTGCTTCGGTGTGAGAGGTGCCCGGGTGCCTGCTCGGGGGGGGGCGCCCGGCCGGGTGCCCCGGGCGCCATTCCGGGCACGGTGGGGTACCCCAGGCGCCCGAGCTGGAAAGCTAGCTTATTGACGGATAACAGTCTTGAACTTTTGATGGGTTAACAAAAACTGGTTAGTGAAGATGGTTGCCTAAAACTGGTTCTGAAAACAATCTGAAGAAAGGAAAGTGGCTGACCAAACCGGCTATGGATATCCATTGATTGATTAAGGCTTGTTTCATGTCTGGTTAGTGGCAACAAGAACTGTGACAGGATATGTTTTCCAACCTCCTGATTTACATCATCATATCTTAAAAGTAGTTATGGATCCACTGTTACATCTTCGACGCCACACGGGTCCTACCGGACCCGACTTAGGGCTAGAGGGACACACCAGGGCCTAAAGGCCCAACCTTGGGGTACTACAGGCCATAAAGGCCTCACCTTGGACCAGACCCGACGGGCAGGCCCAAACGACAT